CTTTTTATTTTTCAGAACAATTCTTTTTTTTAATGTTATTTATAAGAATTATGCAAACAATATTCTAAAAAAATATTATAATTAGGCTCGTTACTATTAAGATTATATGAGAGATAAATAAAAATAATCCACTTTAAATTCTCCCTTCCGTCATTAGTATGAGCTGCATCAACCAATTATAGAATTATAGCAATAGTAAAAAAAAACATAGCAGCTTAAAATCAAGACATACAAAATCAATAGGTGAGTACTCCCATTCTAGAGTTTTTCAAATAAATCAAAGATAAACATCTTTTAAAACAAATTTTACAAAATATGTGTACTACTAAGTAGCATTTGAAGTAATTGGAAGTAAATGATCTTAATTTATTTCTCATATAACCTTAATTCTCGTAATTTAGTTACGAGAATAATTATAATAATTTTGTAAAGTATGAAGGGAAGATGTGTGAATTCATTATTGCACACGTTTCAGCAGTACGCACGTAAAATATGGTACTTGAAACTATAGCGTATCCTATTCCTATTCCAACAATACTAAACTTTATGTGTACTTGATACTTTATGGACTAGGTGGAACAGGTATTTGGATCGAGTATTTATACGGAATTGGACTAGGTGCACCTAGTACGAAATTTACCTAGTACGACTCATCTCTAGTCGTGCATCTAATCGACTCGAGCGCGTTGTTACCTCTCTCCCCACCCCGTTTCCTAGTTCGCTACACATTGCTTGCTCACTCCATTCGTGTTTTATTCGTCGTGTTGGTGTTGGTGTAGCGCGCGCGCTGTTTTTGTTTGTTGTGTGAAAATGGAGAAAGAAATAAAACCCGAAGTACTAATTCCATTAGTTCACGAAAGAGCAGTCCTTTGGGATAAAACTTTAAATGACTACAAAAATAATAATCTGAATCTATTGGCCTGACGCGAAATTTGTACCATACTAATACCTAATTTTGAAAACATGGAAGAAAAAGAAAAACAACATTTCGGTAAGTGCCAGTAAAGTTTATTAACTATTATATTAAAAGTTTATTAACTATTATACTACATAGTTATGTATTTACAGTTGTATTATTAATTTTTAACTCATTTATATTATGCGTATCGCGCATTAGTTTGCCAAGGCAGCGAACCAATCGGGGAAGTAAAATAGTCTGCAAAGTCCGATCGTATAATATTTTCAATCGGACCACCACGAGGATTATGTACTCTCTGTTGTTGATCTTGTTCTTGTATCGATTGTTCTAGTGCAAGTTTTTTTTTTTTATAGAAGAGTGGGCAAACGAGCATGTGGCTCACCTGATGTTAAGTGACTACCGCCGACCATGATCAACCGCAACACCAGGGGAATTGCAGGTGCGTTGCCGGCCCTTTAGAAAGGAGTAAGCTCTTTTCTTGAAGGTCCCCAGGTCGTATCGGTCCGGAAAAATCACCAGGTGGTAAATTATTCCACAGAGAGGTTGTACGCGGAAGAAAACTCCTTTTGAAACGTACAGTGGTGGACCGCCAAGCATCCAGATGGTGTGGATGGTATCGGGACGTTTGCCGTGTAGTGCGTTCATGAAATTTGGCGGCTGGGATTAATCCGAACAATTCCTCAGAGCACTCCCCGTGATAGATGCGATAAAATACGCAAAGAGTTGCAACATCTCTTCGCAGCGCCAGTGAATCGAGCCGATCGGAAAGCACTCGGTCGTCGACGATTCGAGCCGCTCTGCGCTGGATGCGGTCAAGTGGAAGGAGCTGGTACTGGGGAGCCCCAGCCCAGAGATGGGAACAGTATTCCATGAGCGGCCGAACCTGCGCCTTGTAAAGTTGCAGGCGGTGTGCCGGCATGAAATACTGTCCCGCTCTGCTGAGCACGCCAAGCTTTTTAGAGGCCTATTTGGCCTTCCCTTCAAAGTGACCACGAAACTGCACGTCATTCGATATGTCGTGCCTTGAAACTGAGGGGATACGACAAAGGGGTTCTTTTTAGCGGTTAACGCGCAAACTTGTGTCTTCTGGGGGTTAAACTGGACTAGATTTAGTCGCCCCCAATCCGAGACTCTGTCCAGCAGAGACTCGTCTTCAGACACAAGTTTGTCCCGGCACTCAGAGACGTTTTCCCGAGAAATATTGGCTCGGCCGGTGTAAAGAGCATCACCAGTGCTGTCATCTGCATAGCAATGAATGCTACGGGTTTGCAACATATCATTGATATGCAGAAGAAACAGCGTTGGCGATAGCACGCAGCCCTGTGGAACACCAGCATTAATAAGCTTGCAATCGGAGCTTGCACCGTCTACAACGACCTTGATGCTCCGATCTGCAGGAAAACTGGTGATCCAATCGCACAATTTCTCGGGAAGCCCATAGGAAGGGAGCTTCGAAAGAAGCGCTTTGTGCCAAACCCGATCGAAGGCCTTTGCAATGTCCAAACTAACGGCCAATGCCTCCCCCCTTGGACTCTACTGCCTCCGCCCATCTGTGAGTTAGGTAGACCAGAAGATCACCAGCTGACCGACCACGGCGAAAACCGTATTGGCGGTCACTAATCAGCTGGTGATCCTCAAGGTACCTCATGAGCTGGCAGTTTACAATGGACTCCATTGTTTTGGAGAACAAGGAGGTGATGGCGATAGGCCGGTAGTTGGACGGGTCTGAGCGGTCGCCTTTTTTAGGGATCGGGTGGACGAAAGCCATCTTTCATGATTTTGCGACTACGCCTAGGGAGTAGGAGTACCGGAAAAGACGCGTTAAAACCAGTGCCAACTCTGGAGCACACGTCCTCAGCACAATTGGGGGGATTCTATCAGGCCCACTCGACTTATGGATGTCCAGGGAGAGGAGTGCTTTGCGAACCGAGCGCTGAGTGAACTGCACTTCCGGCATGGAGCACTCACACCGCGGGATGGTCGGCGGCGTACTCCCCCCCGTCATCGAGAGTCGAGTTAGACGCTAAGAAAGAGCCTAGAAGATCGGCTTTCTCCTTTGCGGTGTGGGCCAGTGAGTCGTCCTCCCTGTGCAGAGATGGAAGAGATGGCTGGCAGAAATTCCCCTGGACAGCCTTGGCGAGAGACCAGAATGCACGGGTTCCAGAAGGAAGACGAACTAGTCTCTCGCCAATTCTGCCTATGTGCTCTGACTTTGCCTTGGCAATGACTCTTTTGAAGGACCTAGAGGCGGAATTATACTTCTTTTTTAGAGCGCTGGTGTTTACATCCCTGGACGCTGATGCGTCAGCCCAGGCTCGGTAGCACTCCTGCTTATAGTATGATGCTATTTTACAGGAGCGACCAAACCATGGCTGAAATTTGCCTCCAATGGGCACCACAGAGGAAGGAATAAAAAGTTTCATACCCTGAAGTACCACATCAGCGACAGAATCCGCAACAACGTTGGGATCGTCCGGCGAGAAGCAAACCCGCCCCCAAGGGTAGGATGCAAAGAAAGACCGCATCCCATCCCAATCGGCTGACCTATAATGCCAAACACGGCGGCAGCCTGCAGAATGCAACCGCGATTTCAGCGTGAGTGGCACCACACTCCGGACAAGACAATGGTCCGAGGAGCCTAAAGGGGCGTCGACGGAAATCTGATATCCGTCCGGGTGAGAGGTCAGCAGAAGGTCCAACATGGAAGGTGCATGATCCTCCACATCTGGAATCCGCGTAGGCGAAGTAACCAGTTGTGTCAGACCATATGCCAAGGCAAAATCATGAACAGATCTCCCCGCATGATCGGTTAAACGTGAACCGAGCCATTCGGCGTGATGGGCGTTAAAGTCGCCGAGGATCACGATCTCTGCGGAGGGGATCTGCTGTAGCAACGAATCTGCAGCCATTTGGACGTGGTCAAAGAGTCGGTCTGTTTCGGCATTACCGCTATGGGACCTATAGAGGCACCCGTAGACGCGCAGATGGTCGTCGCTGTCTACGCGTAGCCAAAGGATGGACAGGTCCGAGCCTTCAAGTCTGCCGAGGCGTCGAGAACAGAACAGATCAAAGTTTAGATCATCCCTTTCTCTTAAATAATTATGCAATACTGCACAGGCTTTCACAATATGGATAGCTGTGTCTGGGTGGACATCCAATGGTCGATGCAGTATTCTCCATTTATTATCTAAAATTCCAAAAGCACACTCAACAAATCTTCTTGCACGGCATAATCGATAATTAAATATTCTTTTCGTATCATCCAAATGGTTGCCTCCGAAAGGTCTCATTAAATTTGTCGTCAGGGGGAAAGCATCATCGCCAACTAGTACATAGGGCATATCCTTTTCGATTGTTTCATGAAGAGGCCTTGGCTTTGGTATGTTTAAACTACCATCATTCAGTTTCTTCCAAAAGGTAGTCTCCTTGAATATGGAAGAATCGCATTCTTTCCCATATGAACCAACACTTATATAAATGAAACGGTATTCTGCATCAACAACAGCTAGTAAAACAAATGAAAAATAACCTTTGTAATTGAATACATCGAGCCGCTTTGATTTGGTTTCACTACTCTAATATGCTTGCCGTCGACGGCTCCAATACAGTGTGGGAAGTTAGCTTTAATATCAAAACCATTTGCGATGTTTTCCCATTTATTTTTACTGTCGGGCAACTTCATAAACTCTTCTTTTAATGTATCCCAGATAATGTAACTCATTTCTTTGATAATTTTACTAACAGTTGATACCCCGACTCTGAAATTGTAGTGCAGGTCTTTGAAGGAACATCCTGACGCACAATATCTGAAAATAATGTTGCAATATAATTTCAGGTAAATTAGTATTGACCAAATGGACGAACTTACGGAATGTCTGGATCCGAACAAACAAAAATGATGAAAAAAAAAATCAGGATCAGGGGCAAAGCCATATGTATATAAAGAGCAAATGGATTTTTTGCGTAAAGTTGCTAGACCTAATCCTCCTCAAGAGTTTGTTGCGTCGCGTATATCTCAACCAGGGACAGAAGGCAGTACTCAGTTGTCTGAAAATTCGCAACCAAGCACTTCTAAAAGACCATGCCACCACAGCAACATATAATGGACTTAGATGTCAAAATGAGCGAGTTTTTAGACAGCAGGCTATCACAACAAACTGATCGCCCAATTTTATCATTTTTTAAAGGTATCCTACCCTCTGTTACGTCTTTCGACGATGACGAAACGTTGGAGCTTCAATCAGGTGTATTATCACTGATACAACAAATCAAAAAGAAACGTGAAAACAGACTTTATGCAAATAATTATAATTACGCGCGTGATAGCACACGGCGATCGGGGTATTCGACACAGAACTATAATTATTTATCTACCGATGAATCCGGATATTCCTCTCAAAACCAGGCTGTTCTTACACCACATGGGTCTGGATATGAAAGACGTCAAACGTATGAGGAAGGATCGCCTGCTGCATCTACTTGGTCGGAAAGTACTGAATTAAATTTCTCCGATTTTTGAATTATTGTAATATGTTGCGCTGTTTACCTACTTAAAATAAACAAGTTAAAATAACTTTTGTTTCAATTTCAATACACCTAAGAAATCACACTACAACTGCTACAATCAGATTACTACACTACAAATACAATCTGAATATTTGTAGCAGTTGTAGTGTGGTTCTAAAAAAAACACTTACCTAAGAAATATCGACAGTCTTTCTTCAGGACAAATGCAGTCTCTAAATGTCGTATTCCGATACGTGATGCTCGCAGAAACTCTTGACAGTAGGTCGTTGAAAGTTGCTTGTGGCATTCTGAAATAATTAAAGAATTTTCGTTCGTCATTTTTTAATTCATGTATTAAATTTTTATAACTTCCTAAAGTCGATCTTTCTGTTAGGATTGGGTGCATCCAGTATTTTCTTGGAATTGACTTTTGGAGGACTTCTGGAGGTTTACCGAATTATATATATCTCTATGACTATATTCAGAGTATGTGAACTTGTAAAACGCTGTTATGATGATTATAATACAACTCAATAATTTATTTTAAAACCAACCATTTAGAATGCAACAAATAACAAAATGATTCTTGCAGGGGCTCTAGAATCTCCGTGGAGGTGTGCCCTGCTTGGGCGGAGCACCGCCGTGTCCTCGTAGCGGCGATAGGCGGCGGCGACCTCTCGCGTCCGGCCCTGGTCGAAGCCATGGTCCGGAGCGAGACGGAATGGGATGCCGTCACCACCTTCTGCGAAGCAGTGATGCTAGCGAAGGAGGTGGCGGAGCGGGAGAAGGAAAGAGCAGCAGCTTTCCTCCCCGGCCGCAGCGGGAGACGCCCCGGGCGTCGGGGGCTACGTCGTGGCCCCCGGCCACCGTAGGCGCGGGCCTGTGGACGGCGAGCAATGGGTAGCTCGTCGTCCGTCCGTCTAACGACGACAGGCCGTGTCGACGGCGCGTTTTGTTCCACGCGCGCCTCAAAGAGCTGTCAGCAGCGTGATGGGGCCCGCAAGGGCCGACGCCTGCCGGGGCTGCGGGCTATTCGAAAGAGATACCGCGGCTCCGGAACGTAAGGGCACTGAAGGAACACGGATGGTTTTTAGTCAGTAAAAGTCTGACACTCCCTTACGCTCCACCCAGAGCGAAAGGGGTCATTAGATGATTTTCCATCCGCAAAAAAAAAAAAAAAAAAAAGGGGCTCTAGAATCTAGATGATAAAAATCTGGCTATATGTTTTTAATGGTTTTGAGATTTGGGATATAAATATTACATGACTGTCTGAGATATTTGAATTATTTAAATATTGGTTTGATTTGAAATTTGACCCTATTGGATTTGACAAAGTCTGTTTTAAGGACTTATTACGAAAATAGTAAGCAAAGAGTATGTCACTACATTTTAAAGGTTTAAGTAGTAAGTCTTAAATATATATTATGGAGAATAATTTATCGTCTTAGAGTATTTGAACTGTAAAGGCTATAAAAAATCATAGTTACAACAGTCACAAAATAGCACAATGTTATTAGTCACGAAAGGGTACGCGTGTAAAATATATATTTCGTCGATATTTATTTGAATTTTAAGTTACCGTGGTTAAATGTGTAGTACCAAGCTGCAAAAATGATTCATGGAAGCAAACTAATACGAACAATGATATTTCTTTGCATCGATATGTAATATTTCGATAAGAAAACACTGATTTTAACAAAATTACTTAGAGTGTCAAAGGGTATAGCGGGAGCTTTCATTATATGGCTGTCTAGATGCCACATTGTCCGTACAGAACGGCCCAAATAAAGTCTACTAAAATTGGTAGACTCGCTTCTCAGCTACGTCAGTGTCATTTGAATCACTTAGAGATAACGTGGTCACGGAAAATAATTAATTATGCCGGTTTGTGCTGTTAAATTGTGTCGCAATTATTTGAGAAAACCGTATAATAACACCAAGATCACTTTTCATCAATAAGTTTTGTTATTTAACCACCATTGTTGTATGAAAACACGATTTTTTAATTCGTTACTTTGTTGGTTAGTCTGATCAGCCGGTGTTGTCAGTTTATTACTAGGGAGTTTTGACGAATTTATGGGAGCCAAAATACAAATATTATTACATCATCCTTCGATCAGTGGAACATTATTATTTTAAAAATTACTTTAGTTATTTGAACAGTAAATGATAACTTACCTACACAAAATAAATGAAACCCATAACATCATAGTGCACGATGAATAGTATTTTTGTTAGTTCTTTCAAATATTTTTATATTTTTAAATAAAATAAATAAAACGAATCTACATAATAATTACTTTATTATATCTATCTATTTTGTTTAACTTTCATCTGATTAAACAAGTATATAATCAAATCTTCCGCCGTTTGGTCCCCTGGCGAGGTCTCCTATCTGGTAGGATTTTATTTATTAATGTATTTTATTTATTTATTTCATTTTATTGATATTTATCATTTTCATTTATATATTTATAAAACTATAACTAAAACTACATAAATACTAAAACTAACTATAAAATATCAAAAAATAATTATATTATTTATTTGATAAACATGGTACATTAAAGATGACAAATAGTTGTACATAGTCCATATGCTTACCATATCTGACATTTGAAAATTATTTAACATAGGATATCAAAACATTATTTTTATAAGTAAGCAAGTAAACATATAAATAATTTATATCAAATAAAATAAAATAAATTAAAAGTACAATTGTCATGTGAAACGTTACTATTTTATAACTAGGCAAATCAAAATAAGTGTATATAAAACATTTTAATGTCAAATAAGTACTTAATCTAATGGGAAATAATCAAGAGCTGGTATCACTCAGCTCGCCCTCGAGTAACACAGCGCCACAGATTAGTAAATAGTTTACTAACAGATACATCACTCCCATACAAAAGTGAAAATACCTACGCTATAATAGCCTACGAAATCTTAATAATAATACCTGATGTTCGCGGTGAGAAGAAAATGTACCATAAATACGCGTACAAAGAGTCGAGATTGTGTTGCCCGCCGTGCGACTCACGTTCATTATGATTATTGTAATAAAACGAATGTTGCGAAATAAACATATTTTTTATTAGATAATCAAATATGGTTGAGTTCAAAAAAATTATTTATATATTTTTTTCCTTCTCTGAATTCTCATACACATATATAATAAATACCCTTTTTGACCTTGACACCCATCCACTGTACAATAATTACGTGGTTTCGGCATTTCGACGAGTGGGCGATACGCAGAGGGATAGGCATATAACGCGTGGCCTTATATGCGTATCTCTGCGTATCGCCCAGAGCCATGCATTCCTCCAAAACCCACTACACGGTGTTGATGGGAGACATCAAGGCAAAACTAGGCACAAGAGAAAACGGTGAGCTGAAGTTAGGGAAATTTGGAGTAGGGCAACGGAACCGAAGGGGCCAGCAGCTGGCCGACTTTATGGAGAAAGAGGAACTCTTTATGATGAACTCTTTCTTCCAGAAGCGGCCCCACAGGAAGTGGACCTGGTCGAGCCCCGACGGTTCGACTAAAAATGAGATTGACTTCATTATGACGACCAGACGCCAACTGTTCAGTGATGTCTCAGTGATCGCAAGGGTGAAAACTGGCAGCGATCACCGAATGGTTAGAGGCACACTGAACCTAAACCTTAAGTTGGAGAGGTCTCGTCTAATGAAGTCAACGCTCCGTCCCCCCCGTGCTCTAATCCGGAATCCCGAAACTTTTCAGCTCAAGTTACGTAACCGCTTTCAGTGCCTAGAAGATTTCAATGCAGTGGACGATATGAATGATCTGTCTGCCAGAAAGAGCCACCTGTCAAAGCTGAAGACTGACTGTGGCAGCATCGTTTCCGGGACACCTGAGATTTTGCGTGAGATTGAGAGGTTCTATCGGCAGCTGTACACATCATCGTTGGAGCCACACGCAAGTGTGAGTAACGATTCAAGAGCAAGTCTTATCCGACAGTATTCAGATGATATCCCGGACGTCAGTCTGAGCGAGATTAGAATGGCTCTCCAGCACCTTAAAAACGGCAGGTCCCCAAGGTGAGGATGGAATTACAGCGGAGCTTCTGAAAGCGGGTGGAACACCGGTACTTGAAGTCCTTCAGAAGCTCTTCAATTCCGTCCTCCATGGTGGCACTACTCCGGAGGCGTGGAGCAGAAGTGCGGTGGTCTTGTTCTTTAAGAAAGGCGACAACGCTCTCTTGAAGAACTACAGACCTATTTCCCTTCTGAGCCGCGTCTACGTGCTGTTTTCGAGAGTCATTACGAATCATCTCGCACGCAGACTCGACTACTTCCAGCCTCCCGAACAAGCCGGTTTCCGAAAAGGCTTCAGTACCATAGACCACATACATACCCTGCGACAGATTGTACAGAAGACCGAAGAGTACAATCTGCCACTTTGCCTGGCGTATGTGGCTATGAGAAAGCCTTTGCTTCCGTCGAAATTTGGGCGGTGCTACTGTCCCTTCAGCGGTGCCAAGTTGACTGTCGGTATATCGCAGTGCTGAAGTGTTTGTACAGTAGGGCTACGATGGCTATCCGAGTACAGAACCAGAGTTCGAAACCTATCCAACTGCAGAGAGTTGTAAGACAGGGTGACGTTATATCCCCGAAACTCTTCACCGCTGCGTTGGAAGACGTTTTCAAGCTACTGGACTGGAAAGGATACGGTATTAAAATCAATGGCGAGTACATCACTCACCTTCGATTTGCCGACGATATAGTCCTTATGGCAGAATCGCTGGAGGACCTTAGCACTATGCTCAATGACCTCAATGGTATCTCCCAACGGATAGATCTTATGATGAACATGGACAAAACAAAGATCATGTTTAATGTCCATGTCACACCTATGCCGGTAGTTGTTGGGAGCACTATGCTCGAATTTGTTGACGAGTACGTTTACCTGGGACAATTAGTCCGACTAGGTAAGTCCAACTTCGACCGAGAGGTCAATCGACGGATTCAACTCGGCTGGGCAGC